GCTTCCTCTGAGTTTTCTGGGCATCTTTTTGATTGCCTTCTCATCAGGCTCGTCTGAGCCAGACGTTTCTATTTTGACTTTCCTGTTCTTTCGTATTAGATTTCTCTGTCTCCTTGTACGCATTTTAAATATTCGTGCTGGTGGTGGATTTATGTCTTCGTAATTGTCCCTTTCCTGTTTTTCTGCAAGCTTGTATAGCTCCTGACGTGGTAGTTCTGGGTTTTCTTCTCCTTCTTAAAGAACTAGATTGCGAGAAAGAGCATCCGGTGCTTTATTTTTCTGTCCAGGTTTATAAACAACATCGAACTCATATCCACGGAGTTCTGCCTTTAATCTTGTGAATCTTAAGTCTGGTTTCTTTGATGTGTGGAAATGTTTGAGTAGTTCATGGTCAGTTACGACTGTAAATTTACGACCGAACAAATATGGCCTGAACTGCTCCTTGGCGTACACTATCGCCAATAATTCCTTGTCGTATGTCGGATATCGTAATTCACTGTCCTTCAAGCATCTGGATGCATATTCGCAAGGGTGATCTTTGCCTATCTCTCCCTGGCTTAAAAAATCTCCGATAGCGTAGTCGTATGCGTCGGTTGTTACGATAAAGGGTTGGTTTATATCTGGAGCCCTCAGCACTGGGCTCACTGCACAGAGCGTTTTTAAGTTTTGTAAATGCATGTTCTTGTTCATCTTCCCATTTAAATTCGGCTGTTTTTCTTGTAAGCTTTGAGAGAGGTTGGGCTATTTTTGCGTAATCCTTGATGAAGCGTTGATAGTTCCCCGCCAACCCGAGAAATTGTTTCATTTTCCTCGCATTTGTTGGTTTAGGAAAACTTTTTACTGCTTCAATTTTTTCTGGATTTGTTTTGATCTGGCCGTTGCCTACAATATGACCGAGCACTTTCGCTTCTTTTCTAAGGAATTGTCATTTTCTTGGTTCTATTGTGAGATTTGCATCGGCTAGCCGTTTTAAGAGCCTTTTGAATCTTATCTCGTGTTGTTTCAAGTTTTCTGTGAATACCATGATGTCATCCACATATATATATATACCTCTATCTCGCGTCCTTGTAAGCCTGCTAGTGCCAGTGTTATCACTCGCATGAATGTACTTGGCGAGTCTATGCATCCCATCGGCATTCTGTTATATTGGTAATGTCCGTTTGGTCCTGAGAACAGTTTTATGAGCATCCTTCTCGTAAATCTCTACTTGAAAAAACCCGCTCTTTAGATCTACCACTGTTATATATTTTGCAGCCGTTAAATTTTTCAAAATTTAATTCCGGAATGGCAGTGGATAGCACGTATCGACTGTTATTTCGTTCAATAGCCGGAAATCTGTTACGACCCTCCAGCGTTTTTCTTCGTTTGGTCCCACGTTTTTCGGGACAATTTACATATTTGAGTTATATGGAGATGTCGATGGCTCAATTGTTTGTTGCTGCAGTAGTTTATCTATTAGTACTTGCATCTGTTCCTTTAGTTTTATTGGATAGCGTACCCTTTCGGCAACTATTGGCTTCTCTGTTGCCGTTATTATTTGATGCTTAAGTAAGTTGGTAGCCTTTAGTGGCTTGCCGTCGAGGCCAAACACGAACGGATTGTATTCTATGAGATCCCGGATGTGGTTTAATTCCTCTATGTTGCAGCCAGATGTATCGACGATTTCAATTATTTTGCTTACTCAAGCCACTATATCAGATTCCTTAATATCTTTGAAATTTTCAATGTTGTTCTTTATATAATCATTATTTTTACCGCTTACGACATTTCTTTCTTTTAAAATTTCATTATTTTTCAACTTTGCGTCTGAATTTTTAGTAATAAAAAGCCCAATCATGGCTTCGTTTAACCCTTCAGCGTTGTCCACAGCGATGCTAAATAGTTCCGCCCCTTGTCTGGTTTCACATTCGAAAACATTTACTTCCAGTACTGGCACGTCAATTTGTTCGTCTGTTATGTTTATAATTTCCGCATATATTTTTGAGTTTTTATTTTCTCCTATAGAATTTCCAAACAAGATTCCCTCCTTTTTATTTTTTATAGGGACCCAGCCGACTTGTACGTGGCTGCTCTTATCTTTTATACGCGCAAATCTTACTTTTCTCGATTTTGCGGGGATTTTAAAATATTTTGGTCTTAGTAATGGGATTCTGATGCCTTTAATTTTAAATAATTTTCTTTGGCGCTTATGAGGCCATCATACAACTTAGAAGCGTCCCAGACAATAATGCCTTCCATTTCTATCGGAAAGTTATCAGGGACTTCGTGTGGGGGTACTGTAAATCGATCTTGGGCGTTTAAGTAATTTCTATTTGCCCAACCTAACTCGTCTTCTCCTGCAGAATAAAGTGGTGCCGCTGTGTTCTGTCTATAATAATTATTGTCGTGGTTTGTATTGTTGGTGATGCCGTCGTTCCCGATTTCTTGCTCGCCTTGAGCTACTGGGGTTCGCATTTGTGTTTGACGCCATGTAACTTCTCCGTACGTCTGTCAAGATGATTGATGTTTTGGTTGTGTAGGTGTAGGTATTCGATTTGTATATTGTTGTACCGCTTGTGCTGCTGCTTCTCTTATTATATCGTATAGATTAGTGTCGTGTTTGGCTTGTGTTTTATCGCTATGTGGATTAGTGACTTGTCGATTCATGTCAGTTGTCGCATTTTCACGTTTGGTATATATTGTTAATTTTTTAAATACAGGGGGTCTATGTGTTTCTGTGTGGGATGGCGCATCAGTTTCGTTATCGCTTATGTCTTGTCCATGAGATAACTGTCCGCGTTTTATGCTTGGCGTTAATTTCCTTAACATTTTTATCATAAAAAGCTTCTGTTTGTTTCTGGCCTTCTGCCACTCTGTCCATGTTTCCGGATCATCTTCTAGATTAATTTGTATTACTTCGTCATCTGTGTCAATTGGTCCTGTTTCGTGTATATCTGTGCACCTCACTGCTTCCTGTACTCCTCTTCCCAGTGTATTATTTGTTTGTGTGTCACTCATAGTGTTGCTCTTTAGTCTCTTTTTTTTCTGTAGTTCGTCTTGTACTTTTCTAGTTCGTATATATATTTTTCTAATCGTAAAACGCCGTAGTTTCTGTGTACTTTGTGTTAATCTGATAGATACGCTCTATCGAGTGTTTGTCGATATTTTTTTTTTTCGTTCTTGTTTTCGTTTGGCTACTCCTTGTATTTATAAACTAATTTAAAAATTTTGTATGGGGTGTTTGTCGTTTGTATCGGTTATATGCTTGTGCATGCAATTATGGGTTGCCGCTAAGGTCTTAGTATATTGCGATTTAGAAATAAAATCGATATGTAAGTTTTTTTTTTAGGTACGTATTTTCCTCGGAGGTTATGAGTATAGTATATACGAGTAATGAAAATTTACTTAGCAGATCACCTTGACGATGGTCAGCATGACGATAATCCCGTGCATACTTATGGGTTCCTTCTTTGATTCTTCCTAGAGTTGCTTAGCTTCTGCTTCCGCTTATTGTTCCCTTCTCCTGTGCCGCGTATCCCATGTTTTCTCTGTGGCTGTAGTCCGAGCTTGGCGTACCGTGCTTTCTTCTCTTTGTCTATATTTTCTTGGGTTTAGTGAACGGTAGTTGTCTCTAGTGTCCTGGTATATTGGTCCACTGGCTTGACATGCAGTTTTTCCTTGTCTGGTATCCTTGCGGTATCGAAGATTTTTCCGATTATATCTTGTTGTTCTCCTCTACTTTTTCAATTTCCCTTATATTGTGGCACTTGACACGCTGAATTTGGAGTCTGGCACTTTTGACCCTTTTTTTCTTTGCGACGAGAGATATATTCTTTTTATTTCTTTTATTTATTACGTCAATTAAGTCGAGAAAAAAATAATTAAAAAATTTTTTTTCTGTTCCGCGAGACTAAGCTAAGTGATTTCCGCGCTCGCGACAGACCGTAAAAAATTTCATCTGTATCCCACTTCTGACACCAGCTGTTACGTGGGATTCTCGGTGCAGGAATAAATAGAAGCGCGACTTGTTGTAACTTATACTTTATTAGAGTTACTTATCATTGAGGGAAGTTGTGCGCGTATTCTCGTCTTGCGGACTTACCCTCTTGCGTCTCTGGCTGATCTCCCCATCCCTTCTGTCTACCTTTCCTATCACCTCTTTTCTCTATTCCCCTACCTTTCAGGCCAAAGCCAGCAGAGGCGCACGCACGCATAGCTATGTGCTATCGTACGTAACAGCAGTTAAGTAAACTTAAGAATCTGAATCCTATTTTGCTTCTTATATTATGACGTATGCTTTGAAAGTCATTATTTCTTTAAAATAGCCTATCAAATAATTGTTGGTTTTTTATTTTTTACATGTTTTTTAACTTTTTTTTTTAAATTCTGTACGTATACGATAGCAAAACTCTATGATCTTCGAAATAAATCTAGGAAACTGCTCCTAGTCAGTAAGTGTCCTCGCAGTCATGCTCGTCTGTATATACAATGTCTGTAATATTTTAAAAAATGAATTAAAAACTCTTAAGAAATATCAATTGCTGTGCTCTTTTTTTTAACGCCCATACTATTTTCATAGTTTTTTTATTACTTTATTAAGATTAGATATTATTAATTTGTTTTACTGATATTATTTGTTTTTCTAGAACTTTCAGTTATTTCTTATCACCGTAAGTAAAACAAAGATGTATTTTCTAGAATTAATTACTTGAAATTGTATAGAATAAAAGTGACCTGAAAATCGACAGAGTTTTTCATTATGTTATACTGGGGGCTGTAATGGAGCTGAAGAGAGCACTATTATCTTTCTTTTTAAATAACTCTAAATATAAGATAATACGTATGAGTGTGTATAGTTTGTTTGTTTGTGCGGTTGCAAGTGTGCTTGGTAGCTAGCATCTCATTAACATTTTACGATAATAACTACAGTTTTTTTACATTGTTTATTAGTGTTCTTAGAAAACATAACATGAATATAATCTTTTAATTTGTAAAAATCACTTGTCATGAATTTCTTACAGTTTTTTCCCAATGGATTCGCCTTTGCTACAGGATCAGACGACGCTACTTGCAGATTGTTTGATATACGAGCTGATCAAGAATTGGCGATGTACAGTCATGATAATATAATCTGTGGTATTACTAGTGTTGCATTTAGTAAAAGTGGACGATTACTCCTTGCTGGATATGATGATTTTAACTGTAATGTTTGGGACTCAATGAAGACTGAACGGGCTGGTTAGTTGAACATGATCCATTTATCTGGGCGCAGAACGCAGTATCGCATAACTATCGTTCTTTATGTTACTTATTACTATCTCCCATTTTAATGTATAATATTCAGTTTAAAGTGTTGAGGCTTATAAATAATTTAATGATAATTATTATTTTATTAAAAATAGAAACAATTATGAAAGTGTAATTATGACGATAGGAAAATTACAAAGTAAGTCACTTTTTAAGAGTAATTTGATACTTTTATACTTTTTTTGGTTAATCTTTAATCAAAAAATTTTATGTACGCAGTTGGGACTTCTGAAAAATTTTACAGCTTTATTTGTTTGGCTTATCTATTATTGAAAAAAATCAATGTCTAACGTGATTTTTGGTTAGATAGACAAAAAATTTATTTTTTAACTTTTTTATGTTTCAACATGTTTGTTAAAGTTTTTAAGTAGGTTTAAAAATATAAATAGTTTTAATAGTTTTTTTTTTGTTTGTAAATGTGCTTCTCAAAATTTCATACTTGCACAGTTTTTATAGAATAATCTCTTGCTTATGGCACGCTTGTTACAATGTAAAACTAAAAAAAAATTTTTATTGAAAAATTTCGTTAAAGCATAAAAAGTAATGTTCTCATATTATTGAAAACGCTAGTAAGTTTAAAAAATCATCAAGATTTTAATTAAAGCTCAAGTAAAAAACGTAGAACAGTTTTTTTATCTATTCTTGCATTTACGTATAAGTGAAAGTTACCTAAGCATTAACTAAAATTTTTAGTGGTTTAGTGTTATAGGAACATAAGATTTTTTAAGAGAAAAATGTTAGTTATGTTATTTTTTCTATTTTGAGCGTTTTTTGTAACATTTGGATGTTTAGCGTGCCTTCAGGAGAAAAAATAGGATTCGCACCTAGTACGCATCTAACTCCAGCAATCACAAAGAGTTCCCTGGACTCTGCTTTGCAGGTCTCTCGGGCCAGGTGCTTGCCCTGACGTCATGTGGCACCCTGGTGCGAAAACGATCATTTTTCTTAATTCAAGGAATTCCAGGAAATGTCTCAAATTATTTTTATTAATTAGCCTTGAATATCTCTTTCTTGATTTTTATTTATTTACTAAAGGTTTTTATTAAAGTGTTAATCTTTTAGTTATTATTTGACTTCTAGCTTTTTGAAGTCAAAGCTGTTTTCAATTTAATTTGTTTACATGTTATGGCCGAAGAATCTGTCTGCTTTTCATCATGGCTTATAAAATGTGGATAAGATCTCTCTCACGGTAAATAATAATAGAAATAGTTGCAATGTAATAAGCGTAATTAAATGTTAGACAAATAATAATATATATACAGCTGTAATAANTTTTTTTTTTTTTTTTTTTTTTTTTTTTTTTTTTTTTTTTTTTTTTTTTTTTTTTTTTTTAGTGCGGAAAAGTAACACGCAAAAGTTTTGTTTATTTTTCTGTTACTTTTGCTCATACTATTTTTTAGATAATAGTTTTTGTAAGGATTGATGAATGATAACTTGACAAGCAAATGAATATGTAGACATAAATTAATTAAAATAGTGACTTTTCGCTGGTCATAATTGTTAGCCTCATTAGGTTATTTTTTTCAACAACAGATTGACGCTAATATTATTTGTTCATTTACTAATATTGTTTAAAAAAATCTTATAGTCCCAGAGCGTGCCTGAGAATGCGAGGGGGGGGGTGTGTAACAAAAAATAAGTAAAAAATGTAGGTCAAATGACTTAAAAAGTTAACTTAAATAATTAAAAATGAATAAAAAAATTATTAACAATAAAATTATTGCGAAATTTGTATAAAAATCATGCAAAAATAATTACGTTTGGTTTTTTCACAGTAAGTAAACCATTAACCAGATGCTAAGTCAAATAAAAATCCTAGGAATAGAAGAAATTGTTTATTAAATATGAAAAAAACAAGGAATCAGAAATTAACTCAATAAAGTTTGGTTCCTTTGACAATCATATCATTCAAAACAAAAATAATTACACTTTGTAGGAAAAAATCATACTTGTACATTTTTCAGTAACGGTAAACTTGAACTAGACTAACAATAACTTTATAATCATACAGAAAAAACTTTAATTTTTTGTGAGAGTTTTTGCCAGCAGAATAAAAAGTGAAACAGGCAAATTCTCAACCAAATTGAAAAATAGATGTGCTAGCATTAGTAACGTCATTGCACTATAAGTAAAATAAGGAGTCTATATGTAAGATGCTGGTAATAAAATATAATCGTATAACCATCGAGTGCAAACAGTATAAAACATAAATTTACTATACGACTGGCACTGATCGAATTTGCCCTCACAAGAGTGCGTGCTTCAAGATATTTTTAAAAATAAAGCTAAGCTGTGTAATATTGACTCTCGTGAACTGTTTCATGGGTGTGGTGTGACTGAGATTTAGCAGTTTGAGACAGTGATTTTGATCAGGACACTGCATAATTGCCCTTTCTGCACTTGAGAGTGTACGAAGCAGCAGTAACTAAAAAGCACTGGATCAGAATAAAATATAATTGCATTTTATGCACACAAAAGTTTGTGAAGTAGCAGTAACCGAAAATCCCTGACTGCTGTTTGAATAGAAAAATTAACGATCGCTTATTTTTACAAGTGTTAAAGTGTAGCTAGATATCAAGAGTGTCGATTTTCAAGCCTACTCACATATCACGGTAAATAAGTTGTAACATCGGTGTATCCATATGAATTTTTTTTCCCTTGCTTCAAAAATTTCCGTGCCGAGTTTAGAACACTAAATGCAGGGGTCAATGTGCATCTGAAAAGAGGTGAATCACCTATAAGATTGCTCGTAGCTAAGGTACTACGCCCATGCATGACTCACATACATGCACACTGGCCCATGCCAACCGGAAAAAAAATCAAATAAAATATTTTTTAAAGCGTAAAATAATAAAAAAAACATTAAAGAACTAACAGATGCAAAAGGTTAACTGGAAACAGCTGTGCTGAGGTTTAATATTAGATATTAGTATATATAGATTAAGTTTAAAAGACGCGATGTTAAAAACTAGGATAATTTAGAGTTAAGACCCATAGACTAAGCGAGAATATTAGCAAATGCTAAAATTATTACATTTGGCTAATACAACCTGTACACGCTACACCATTAGCTAGCAACAATATTACATAAACCTACTAAAGCAATCTTATTGACTTTTAAAGAATTATCTCATTTTTACCATTCATGTTGTCAGGCTCCTGGTTTACTGTACAACCCTTTTGTATCGCGTTTACAATTTCATAAACATACTGCAATAGCCTAAATTGTAATCTGTTGAAAACTGTAACTGTTTCAAATGTAAAGGAAAACGGGAAAGTCATCTCACTTCCCACTTTTCCTGACACGGAGATGTCGAGAGAGAGTCCGCACTCTTGCCCCAATACGGGTAACGGAATTTCCGATTCACCAGGGCATCCTGAGCCGATTTCCTCTCCTACGACAAGCAGAGAAAACCATAGTTGACCAAATGCTACTAGCATTTTAAAATACATTTACAACTAACAATGAATGGAAACCATCGGTAAATCTAAGTAAGTTAACAATATAATAGTTCACGACCAGCACCCCACTACTGTTATTATAGATATACGTTTTTTAACCACAGAAACCGCTGTTGTTAATTAATCATTCATGGTTATGAGTAGTCCGATCAATGCTCACGTGTACAGGTGTAACTAGCGAAAAATCTAGCAACTATTACAGTTATTAATATCTAAAATTAACTACTACTAAGACTATTATAATCAAACCTAAACATTAGGCGATTTTCACTGCTCTTTTTGCATTGGGCTTGATTGAACGGGTGAACAATGTTTACTATTCATTAATAATAATAATACTACATCTTAACTTTAATATTAAGTTATGATAAAGTCTTGTAACTTTTTGATGTAAAAGAGAAAGTAGGGGCATGAGTAAGTGAATCACCTTCCCTTCTCTTGACGCATAGAGGAGAACAAGCCGGATGTGGGATGTGCCAATTTCTGAGTGGCTAAACTAGAGCAATTCTAGCCAACTAGATTTTCGGCTATTGTCTTTTCTCCAAAATTTTTCCCCGGCAAGTTTTTCTGCGTCTTTCAAACCAGCGCGTAACCGAGCTCCGCTTCTCGCAATAAAAAGGCCCGGAGGTCCAGAGAAAAATGAGTTCTGCACACGACATTCGACGGTACCCTTCCAAGTAGACTAAGTAGTGAGAGTCCGCTTCTGCTACAATCTAGTCTACTACGAAGCGAGGACACAGTCGAATATCGTTTTGTCACCCTAGAACGATCGACTGGTAACCAGAGTTCGCCTCTACTGCCACTTGATCTCCTTCGAGTGCGGTTTCCGTTCTACGCTGGTTCACCGCCTGTACCGAGTTTTTCTTTTTGAATAAAAGTAAGAGGAAAGTCATCGAATTTCTAAAGTTTCTTTCTTCCTATTAAATTATTTTGCGCGAACACCATTACTCGCCATAGTATTGGTACCCGTGGATCACCGGGAATATCAAGTTGTTTTGCGCGAACACCATTACTCGCCATAGTATTGGTACCCGTGTATCACCGGGAAATATTGAGTTGTTTTGCGCGAACACCATAACTTGCTATAGCATTGGTACCCGTAGATCACCGGAAGTATCAATTTAGCCACGCGTGTACCATTGCTCTCCGTGGTAGTAATACCATCAGAATAACAAGGACCGATCGGATTAAAGCAAATACTCACCACGATATAAGTGTGTCAAAGTCAGATCGCGAGGTAACCCATCTCTTCCCCACGTAAAACCAAGAAACGATACCCTTACTCGTGACGGTGCTGACAGTTTTTAGATCGCGAATGGGATCCCCTTCGATACGCCGCTCCTGGTAAAATCGACCAACCTCAAGCGAGCCGCAAGCAAGTACATTAGAATATTACACAGCAGTCGGTCCTAGTCGCGTGAAAGCAGTCGTAGCCCCTTTGCGAGTACCACATCGTTAAGTTGAACTAC